CTCTCTCTCTCTCTCTCTCCCTCCTTCACTCTCTCTATCCCTCTCTCTCCTTCTCTCTCTCTCTCTCCCTCCCTCTCTCTCTCTCTCCCTCCCTCTTTCACTTCACTTCCGATCTACTTCCGTGAGTAGCGCTAGACAAAATAAGCCATTACGATTTCCCTCAGTGAGTTCCACTAGACGACTCATGAGTCCTGTAAGAGGTCCTGTCTGGACCTCGGAGCATCCTCTCCACACGGAATGTTTGCTCACCATTTCATTTCAGGGAAAGGCCAAGCAGATTTGTTTGGTCACAGTCTGGGTCGCGATGGGCCAATTGAATGCTTCAATACATTACACAGTTGTACGGATAGTTTAAGTAGGCGTAGAAGCCACGGTATACAGTATACTTTTGTTTGTAACAAAGTGCGGATTCGTGAAGCGATCAAGCTGTTGGCTGAGGCATGCTTGGGCAAGATATGTTGCATTTAGAATCTTAGAATCTTAGTAGCGTTTTCATCGAGGTTGTCGTTTTTTCTGGGTTTTTTAAAGTGTGGGACAATTTAAGCAAGGTATGTTGCATTGAACATCTTTGAATTTTAGTTGCGTTTTCATCGAGTTTTGGTTTCGTTTTGTTCTTTTAAAGAGGAACATGTTAAAGCAAGATGTTTCGCATTTAACATCTCATTTTTTTTCTATGACATAGTGAACTAAAAGGTCAGAACATCGATTGACCTCTCCCATGCTACAAGCTGAAAAAGAACGACAAAAAGAAATTCTCTTGAAAAGAGAAGTCATTACTTTGAAGAACGGTTTAACAGGTGTGCTCACTTTCATTTACTAATATTCATTCTAATCAAATGCACATAAAATATTATTTGCTGATGTGTATCCCAAATGAGGGAATTCATCTATATCACAACATTCATTGTTGAATAAATCTTGCTGTATTAGTGGCATACTTTTCAATGTGTTATTAGGAAATTTAAATTTCTCCTTGACATTTCTTGTTTTACAACTGGAAGGCAGAGCATCTGAAACAGTGTGCAAAAGTTCGGAACTTAAGTCCTAAGAAATTAAGAAAATACAGGCTTAATCAAGAAAATTGCCTCCTGATTAATGGAACGCACTAAAAAGTCTTCTACAGATCCTTATTGCTTCCTCCCCCCTTCTTCCAAACTTAGAAAGAAACAAACAAAAAAGGCTACCTACGAACAATTTTCTGACAGGAACTTTTAGTGAAAAGCTCGCTTCTTTAAATAGTAGCAAGTCTGTCCCCATATCAACACCACCAGCATAATGGATTAAACTGAGGCAAAAGTTGTTCTACCAGGTGGGTGGTCGCTCCTCTATATGACTAACTAGTCAGTTTAGTTTTAGTAAGAGTTTTACGGCACTTGCAACACAATAAGGTCATATAAATGCCGAAGACTAGAGGTGTTACAAGGGATTGAGAACAGTGAAGGACATTAAAATTTGTTTTAACCCTATCCGTATGCCCTGGGGTCATTTTGCACCCCCGGGGTTGTATTCTTTATGTTTTAGAATACTTCTAGTATGAAGATCTCTTTGAAACTTTCAGCATTTCTCAAAAAAAATCATTTTGACAGACTGCTATGCAAAGCGTACCGATTGGATTAACGAGCAAATTTCCTCTTTGGAAAGTGGTGGCGCAGAGTTTCCAACGTCGTATGGATACGATAGTAAAACATGATGTACAGAAAGGGTTAAGGAGTGATCTACATATCTTGTATTCTTTGACAAATGTCATATCCAGGGGGATAGGATTCACTCAAATTTCCAAAGTCCCAACCACTATTAGATCTAGCTCCCAGCAGTTCAGGCAGCAAGATTTCGTATAAATATACAATGGCTAGTGACATGGTTTTTTACCTGTAAAAATATACTTGTATAAATAAAGGCTGCGTAAGGTATTGTTATTGTTGAGGAAGAGCCATTTCTGTTTTTGTTTCTATTTTTAGTAACAAGGAAAACAGGACACACCTCAAGAGAGCTTGACAAAAATGAAATCTATTTGCTAGGTCTGAAAAACCATTTAATTCCTTTTCCATTGATATATATGTTTATCTGGAGCAGATAGATTATAGCAGGAGGATTGGGGGCATGGAGGACCCCTGAAACACAAATAAAAAAGCTAAGATAGGTCTGGCATATGGAAGAGTCATTTACACCATTAAAATCACTGGAGCAAATTGTTTTTCTTAAAATGGGGAAAATAAGCTGTTTTAAGGTGAGACCGGGTTTTAAGTTAACCTGACTCCATCAAACAGAGCCAGAAAACAGTGAACGAAATTTTCCCACTCTTACTCTTACAAGAATGACAGCATTCTGACAATTCAGACTCGCTTTCCAATCTTTCATCAAGCCATCTGAATTTGAGATTATGTATTACATATTTTTGGGGTAATGCTATTAACTACAGCAGCAAATCGCAGAATAGGAAAACACTGAATTAATAATGCAAGCTAATTTTATTCATTACATCACAGCAGGTTGACACATAACAGTGTAAAAACAGTGGTAGAATATCCCTGGTAGCTGTTGAATGCTAATGAACATTGAGAATTGGGGACAAGAACAAGGCCAGTTTTTTTAATCATTGACAAATTCCATTCTAAATTTGTTGGGTTGCGGGCGTGTTGAGGAAACACTATTCATCAAGTTTCATATCCACAAGTTTCATATCCACGGATCCTTTGATATCCATGGAAACAGACACGACTGACTTGAAGTTACATTTCAAAATAAAAAGGATCATTGTTGTTTCTCAAAAATGAAAAGAGACAGTCATGTAGATGCCTGTTACTGAAAACAATGTCCAGAAACACACTTTTAGTTTTTTTTCGTGATTTCTTATTTCTAAAAATAAACAAAAAAGCAAAACATGACAAAGAAGTTTCCCAAAACAAAGAGGCAGGAATAGTCTCTTTATACACAACGATCTGACTTGTGACCAAGAAAGGCCGAATGTACTTTACAAAGTAATGGATTAAGCAAAAAAAATGGTGCTCTTTCCTCGACGTCACCACATCCTGATGTTCAGCTACCCCCCAATCCAAGCCCATTCTAAATCACATTATAAGAGAAACTGAGAATGGGCTCAAATATTCACACAATAATACAGGGGTCATATATACCAAGCTGATTCCAAATTCGTAACCGCATCGCAACAGATGCATATAAATCACTTTTTATCAGCACAGCTTAGACACTCTAGTATGTCAAGTTCAACTGATTTTGATATCATCATAATCATGGCAAATTTAAAACTTCAATCAAACAAAGAACCAAATTTATTGTTAACACAGAAACCTTCAAAATTGATGTGGATTCTTCTTTTTCAAATATGTACTACATTGGAAAAATAATGATTGGTGCTCTTATCACTTGAATAGTCCTTGATAAATGATGACATAAAGTTCAGAAGGATCAAGCACTCTCGACTTTCACTCTCAATGTAAGAGTATATGAAAAGTGAAATTGTATGAAATTTAAACCCAAATGTATGATAGGAAATATAAGTGCATGATAGGAAGTATCTAAAACTCAAGGAATTTAAAAAAACAAAACAAAATAAAGCAAGTGCATGGCAAGGTGTTGTGCATCAAAAGTGTATGAAAGTATTCTTGTGTTTAATAGTTATTCGTTTAAAAAAAATTAAAAGAACAAAGTGTGAACTGACTGTCTACCATTGCACAGAATAAAAGGAGACTCCAGCTATAAACTGTAAAAAAATCACTGAGAGTACAAAGTACAACATAAATTGACATAGATTAATTGCATCACAAGCTTTCCACAACAGGACTCTGACTTTCTAAAAATTACAATTTCATTTGTTCACATTGTTATGTATAATGTCTGTCAGCAATTCATACTCAAGTGCACACAAACAAAAGTTTACAACAAAGTTTTAAAAAGTTTATAAAATTTATATATAAACATAAAAGGAGAGCATTAAGAAAAAAACAACTTTACACAGTGCTTGAACGAAGGCATATTATGCTAATGATAAGACTGAACAAAGACAGACAGAAAATATTAAAGCTTAAGGCCTACAGGGCACCCTTGAGACACAAGCATGACTTTATGAACAAACTGAGTTAACGAAAAACCAAAATAAGTTAAATTGGTCCCAAAGCGATACTTCAAACTACAAAAATTAAAAGGTACCTGACCAATCTAGGAAACAAAATGAAAGAGATACATGAATATTGATTAATAAATATGCAATCTATTAGCATATCTTAATGCTCGATCGATTCTTCAGTGAAGGACTTCGGGATCTGTGGCTACTGTAGAGATTTGCATACAGTTGGGCTTCCAAGGCCTTCTTGTCAAAGGTGTCAGATACGTACCTCTCTTTGATGTCATCCCGCATGGTCTGACTTATCTGTGCCATCGCCCTGGTCTGAAGACAAGAGTTACAATGAAGAAAACAATAGTGGGAAAAAGAGTTTTGACAGTTTCTCAAAAAGCTTCTAGTTTTAGACCAACTGGGACAGCTGTCACCTTTGCTGGTTGTTGATCAAATGTGGAGAAACAATTGTCACACGGGAAGCTTAGAGTAGAAAATATTATTAGTGATTTTGTAATTCACATGGACTGTGGCCTGGACATAGTACATGCTTCTGTCTTGCTTTTTATTGTCTTCTATAGTTATTAAGCGGAACTGTTCTACAGGGGAAGCCCCTACACTAACTTGCTATCAGTCGGTTCAGTAATGTAATGGCCAGCCACCATATTGAGCAAATTCCTTGCTGGATGCACTTTCTGTTCAGGTCTATATTTGTGTTGGGTTTTTTTAATCTCCTGCCTACCGATCTAATGTCAGTACAAATTTCCTGTCACTTCTTTCACTTCTGCCATTCCCTATATTCCCCCCCCCATCTAACTCATAATGTTAAATAGCTTGCAAATCTAGGTGAAAAAGCGAAATTTTCTGCCTTTTTAAAGTCACTTTGGTGAGAGCAAGCAGTTGTTTGTTTATCAATCGATTGCAAGTCTAGCAGCAAATTAATACTAGCAAATTTGATACTGTTACGCAAGTTTTTTTATTCCTGAATAGGAATCCACAATGTGCTTGTGGCTTCCAGATGACTAGCATGAGGTATATATCTTCATATAGGCAACCAGGAGTAGTAAGTTTCTTGAAATTCTGTGAAGTCCATGATAAGCACAAAGCTAAAAATTATGCATTTTCGTGATTTACCAAGTACATCATAAGGTAACAAAGGGGTTAACATAACAGAAACACTAAAGTAAATGATTTGTTATCACATGAGCACATAAGATATTCTGAAACAAGGTATCCAATTAAACAGCAAATCTCAATCCACTGAACACAAATTATTTTAATCCTTTAGAAAAACTGTACCTACCTCTGAAATTGTACGCTCCTTCTCTTCCAAAAGATCTTCCACTTTCCTGTCTCTTTCACAAAGAGATTTTTCTAAATCACTGCGCCATCTCTCTACTTCTTTGTGAATTCTGAAGTAAGCATACAAGAAAAAGGACATTTTGATTATGAAATAAAAGAAAGAAACTGTTCATATTGCATTGGCAGCAACGAGACCTGTGCTTTAAGAATTTGAAAATGTGATTTCAGTTGAGCAAACACGTATACTTAAAATAATATTTGTAAAACAACTGAACTGATATTGTATATTCTCCTACAAGGAGTACTTGTTGTGTTAACATTCAACTGTATATATATATATTATATATCAATGAGAGTGTATATGTGTCGGTAAGTGCTTGTGTGTGTGTGCGTGTGTGTGTGTGTGTGTGTGTGTGTGTGTGTGTGTGTTTGAGTGCAAGAGGAAGGTAATAGGTGTGTGTGTGTGGGGGGGGGGGGGTTGTGTGTGTGTGTGTGTATGTGTGTGTGTGTGTGTGTGTGTGTGTGGTTGCGTGCTTGATAGTGTGTTAGGGTGTGTACATAAACTTAATTCTTCAAAAGTGAAAAGTTTGAAAGTGCGACATGATATAGCTTGATACCGAGCAAAGATACACAGAATTCAAATTTTGCCATGCCTCAGTACCAAACTTATAGATTGAGCTGACATGTGAGAACCTGGTACTGGAATACAAGGTTTCTTGTCATTCCTGTAATATTTTACTTGTGATTTACAGTGTAGTGAAAGCAATGAAAAGAAAACATGGTTTATAAAAAAAATGAGCAGCAAGAATTCCTACTTTGAAATATTTCGTTTTTGCTCCGTCTGTCTGTTCATTCTGTCTTTCTTAACTTGCCAGGACTTGAGTTCCAAGCTTTTATTCACTACTTCAGAGGCTCTGCTTTCCATCTGTAAGATAAGAGATATCAAGGAGAAAAGCTGCTTTAAAACAACACATAGAAAGGTAAGCCACTTATACAGCATGGCTGACATAAGCACATGGAACATAGAAATAATGAATATAGATGGATTCTGACATTTGACAACCCTATCTGTAATTGTTTTGGTACCAAAGAAAGATTTTCTTAAGATATGGCCATTGATTACATCCTTCAAATAGAAATTATTGTCATCTAAAGGAACATCAAAGAACCTGAAATGTCAGCAGTTTTTTTGTTTTTTTCAACAAATAATCCAAAAAAAGATGGTGCCAAACAGAAAAGCTACAAAAGAAAACAATGAGAAAACCTATAGCTAATGCTGGAAGGAAAAAGAGTAATTCTTTAACAAAGATAATAAAATGGTTTGGATAAATTGTAAATTACATCTTAGAATTAGCTTTTACTTTTAGAGTTTAATGTCAAGATTCATATGATGAAAGTCTGCCTGTAGAGTCACAATCAGTGTAAGACACTCAATAGTTTGATCATGTGAACATATATAAACCAAAAACATCCATGATCAAATCTGTTGGTCATGCAACTTAGCTGAGATAACTGAACCCACTCCTGGAGCCATACTGAAGTATGACATCCCCTTTAGACATGTGAAAGTTGACTCTTTATGGGTCATGATTTATCAACACATAATCAAACTGTGTGGAGAAAGGCACTGAAAAATCGGTGTTTGGTACAGAAAGAGTAAATTTTAAAAATGGGAAGAGTCAGAAGAGTGTCCACTTCCACAGACATTATTGCTTCTCTTACCATTTTCTTGTGTTCCAAAAGCCCATGTCTCCAGGCATCCATTTCAGCTTCCATCCTTCTGTGAGCTTTGCGGGCACGATGCAATTTTTCCTGTTCTGCCCGACTGATAATTTCAAAACAATTAATAGATTAGACCATAAGATCAAAATGTCCACACGTAACAGCTGTGTGGTTCCAGGAGGACTTGTATGCAATGAAATCTTAAGAAATACTAATTAAAACACTGACTTAGCCAAATTAATCAAAGCACATTGATCTATGCAGTAAATATACCTTTGCATGTCTATTTCTTCAAATCTACTAATATCCCCAAAAGCCATTTTCAATTTTTAAAAATTAGTTATAGCATCCTGTTCTAAAAAAAATGATATTAATATTTTTATTAATATAGCAATCACAGGAAGTAGCGTTCACCAGAGCAAAATGCATTACGTCTAATCATATGATATCGATACCTCTATTCCAAAACAGAATTTCCATTAACAACTTTTCTCTCAAATTCGATAATGCTATACCTAACTCAATACAAGATATATATTATTTGTATTCGACTTTCTCTGTTTATGTACACAGAAAAAGTGTGGAGGTACAATGATAAAGCACAATAAAAAAAACAATATGTACCACTGAGTTGTGGCTTTTCATGAGAAAAAGGGCTTCATTATCACAACTTTCAGCACCAGTGTCATTGAACAGATAAGTTGGTTTCATGTTCAGTGTGCGTTATAGATTTTAGAGTCTCAGCAATCAGAAACGGACAAAGAGTTTAACTCTTTATCTCCGAGAGGGTTAACACACTACGCCGGGGTCCTTTTTGGTACTAAATCTAAAAATGACAAAAACATCATCAAGTGGGAAATTAAATCAGATCAAGTGAACCTATTTTGATAGCTTTTAATGTAATGCATGAACTCCTGGTAAAATGGACCTGTTTTCTGCAATTGCCTAAAAGTAATTTGACGTCAAAGTCGTCATGAATGAATGCACCTGAGCTGCTGCCAGCGGCTCACCGGCACAGCGGTTCCAACCACGAGTTACTGGGGGTGGCTTGCCAGAGATAAAGAGCTAAGAAAATGGAATCTTCTCAGGACATCAGCAGCAGGAGTGTCTCTCACCCTGTACCAGAGTATAAATCACCAACAAGAGTTTCCAGATTCTTCTGTCCTGGGCTATAGTCTTCCCCCCTGTCTAGCCATGACCCATCTCCTTTAAGTTGGAATCCACTAAGGCCCTCCTTCAAATATAATTTTAGGCCTTCCTTTCTTTCTTCAAGGACAGAAAATAATTTTTTAATTAACAAGAGAACAAATGCACAAACCGTTGCTCCTCAAGCTGTTTGTTCCTCTGCTCTAAGACCACAGACAAATTGCTCTCAGCCTGATTGAGTCTGCTTGCCATAGACGATTGCATCACAGCTTGATTTTGTCTGTTGATATGTTTGTTTAAATCTTAATTACACCAATGAAAGTTTAGGTTCACATCATATTTAATTTACTCGCTGCACCATCAGTACATCTTAATTAACCTGGAAAGGCTATAGTCGAGAGGGTGCTTTGTATTTCAACTTCTATAAAACATCGTTTAAAAGTAGTTTGAACAACACAAAGCATTATGAATATCTCATCCTATAAGAATCATGATTTGCTACGAGATCAGAGAATAGGTTTAGCTTGATGTTACTAAATCTGTAACTTTTACTGGTTCCATTTAAATCATATTTACTTGGCAATGAAATTTACTAATTTCTAGTAGTTTCATATTCTCCAAAAAATATGCCACTGACCAATCTAAATAACATCATCTGAAACTACAAATATTGTCCATTACAGAAACCGACATCATGTATCTCTTACTTTCAGATGTCACAGTTTTTTTAGAAATTCAACGAAAAACAACATACCTTTCTTGATTTTCAATAAAATGTTTCCTCTTTTCATGCAGTTCTCTTTCTTGCCTGTTGTCCAAAAACTTTTTCTGAGGACAATATAGTGGTAAGCAGAATATGAAAATGAAACTGAATATTTTATTTGAAACAAAATGTAACTTTAAATTATTGTGAGAATATGACAAACCATTTATCACATGCATCCTGTTTCCTACTACTACACACACACACACACACACACACACACACACACACACACACACACACACACACACACACACACACACACACACTAAATAACTACACATGAGCACATAGATGCATTAAGTTATTTTAGAGAGAAAGGTGAGGAAGAGGTCAAAATAGTCTACCAGAATATGCAGTGGAGACCATTTAAACTGGACACAGGCAATCCAAAAACAGTGGTAAATCCAAAAAAAATAGAATCCCCAATTATTTTCTTCTTCGTCTTTGTAGGAAAACTATCCATGAGCCAAAATATTCCCATTTTAGAACAGAAAAGAACTTCAAGGTTCATGTCATCTACATAACTAGCTACCCTCGAGCAACTGAAACCAACAAGTCTTACACGCTTCAAGATAATAAAACAAGAGACAGAGATACTAGAATACTAGAATGGAACTGTGTCAATTGTGAACCAGAGAGAAGCATCACCAGTGTACCGTTTGCTCACATTTATCACACACATCAGTAGACATATGCACTGTGTAGGCCTATATAGGCTTAGTTTTAATAACGCAAAGATAATGAATGTATATCTGTCACCTGACATTTGTTTGGTCTTGGCCTACTGTCTCTGTGAAACTAGTTCACATAGGCCCTACACACAAGCACATGGCATTGGGCTTTCTCATTTCTCTAGCCTAGCATAGAGTATAGCACAGTGTGATATACAGTGTCCTGATCTCTTTAGTCTGCTCTGTGTGACTGTTTGACAGATTCAGCTAGATGACAATGTTAAAGAGAGAGAGCAAATGGCAAACAGCCTGCAGTTCAAATTGCAGTTACTGAAAGAAGTAAATGAGAAAAACTTTTAAAAAGTGAAATTCTCTGCAAGTATGGTATTCCCAACTCTACGCTGTCAACAGTCATTGCTATTAGAGCAATCCCGATAGACAAAAAAACCGGCTTAGCCAAAGAAAAACCAGAGGTCACACAGATTTAAATTTAAGTGGACTCTACTGTGTATTTTATTGTTCATTTGTAACTTCGAATTAGGAGCAAGAAGCAAAATTTTTAGGAGAGAAAAAAACTGTTTCATTCTTTTAACAATTGTACCTGCATTATGGATCTTTTCTTTTTTATTTTTCAACATTTAGAATTTGAATTTCAACAAAATATTTTTTGAGCACATAAAACTAATACCATGGATTTTGAAACAGCTATGAAAAAAACACATTTTAAAAATATGGGGCCTAGTACACCTGAACAGCTGGCTGACAATATTTATAACTTTGATTTTTCAAACTACAGGAACAATATTCACATAATGCAGTTCACATCATACCAAACTTTCTTGATGCAGTCTCACATCCTTGCGCTCTGTAGCGCTGTTCACATCTGTTATCTGCTTCGCAAGGAGGAGCTGTCTTATTTCTTCATCTTCTTTCTCTTTTGCTTTCAAGTTCAGCTCCTGAAAGAGAGATATTCCGTTTCTTTTATTTGTTTTCCCTATTTTTTTGTTTTGGCATACAAATACTTTGCTGGACACAAATAGTGGAAAGAGGTCACTTTAAGCTCTAACCCAACCCTTGTGAGATTTGGGGGGTTCATGAAATTCATTTGTCCCTTTCAGGGTGTTATAATGTAAATGTAAATTTACTAAACGTTCTTATCAAAACAAGTAAGAATATTTAGGTAGGTTGTTTTGCACCAGCCTGTCAGAACCAGTCTGGTTTGCATGCGATACATCTCAGTAAAAAATACACCAACAATAATAGTTTACATGCCTTCACTACAAGAGAATTTGGTAGATAAGGAAGCAGATCATATTGTGAATGGGGAATGGAAAAGAAAAATGTTAAAATTTACTTACATGAATTTCAGCTTTAGCTGTCTCTTTTTGTATTTTATCCGACAGCTGTAACTCCTGTTATTGGGACAAACAAAATCAACAACAGTGAGAAATCTTCAGCTGCATAGAAAATGGGCTTTAAAAAACAACGAAGCTGGATATGGCTTGATCTAACACCCCTTTCAGGAGAGGAATCTGATTTATCTAGCTCTCCATGAGCCATAAACTGTAGATAAAACCAAGGTTACTGCAGTAGTGTGCTATTAAATGAGGGACTTAAAAGTCTAGCACTCCCACAAAAACAATTCAAGGAGATGGTTTACCTATTTTGATACAGTTAAGATAAGATAGTTGGAAGTCCACTTTGGGTAAGGAAAAAAAAACAGATTTGTTTCTGAGCAACTGTACAAACTTCAAAGTAAAATAATATCATTTATAAAGGTGGTCCTCATACAGCAGGATTACAAGGGTTCTGTCTTTGCTCAGCTGGTCAACTGGACTATTGATTCACAGAGCAACACAAGCTCAGAATTAAAAGGGAACATTATCTATGTAAAAGAAAATCATCAGGAACAGCTTTTCTGAAGCTTAAGTTAATGATTCAACATCACGTTCCAAATAAAAGGACAGAAAATTTGCCATTTGGAAATAAATTTGATATGCATGGCAACCTACCCAAACATTGATCTCTTAGCAAAAGACCAAATTACCTTCATTCGAAGCTGATTCATGAGAGCTATCTCTGCATTCAGCTGTGAATCTTTGACAGCAAGTCTTTTCAGTTCTCTTTCCTCTTCCTCTGCTTGAATAATTCTTTCTTTTTCTTCAAACTGTAGAGTAAAAATTCTCTTAAGTTAAATAACAAGCAGAATTTCATAACAATTTCATATTTTGAATTTCATTCAATGCCTTTTCACAAGCATTTACTAGTCATATAAAGATCTAAATTATTATCTAAATTATCATCACCAATCTACAATAAATAAAGAACTTCAATCCATTTTGAGTTGGTCATTATGTCATTTTTCTCTCTGTTTGCATTTTTTCCTTCCACTTTATTTTCATTTTCTGATAACATACATTTCATCACTAACAAAAATGAATACATATATCACAGCTAATGATCATTGACCAAAAGAATCTGAGAAGGGTGTGTTCTAGGAATTTCTTTATGTCAGTTTCTTTTTCGATTATGAAACAAGAAGACTACCGCTTAAAGGTTGTCAAATAAGGGTTAGCAAATCACTTGTTTAAGCAAAATTAATGTTGATAAAGCCCGGAATAGTATGCTTCTTCTCAACAACTTTATCAGAGAAAACCTGCACATGATCAATAACAAGATCAATAACAATTACATACGAATATAAAGCTCTAAAAGTAAAAAATAGGTAAACAAACTACTAACCTTCCTCCTGTCCCTGATCCTGTTTTCTTCAGCCAGGAGCTGCCGTCTCTTGTTCTCAGCAATGGTTCGTAAGGCCTCCTCTCTTTTCTTCTGATCTTCCCAAAGACGACGTGCCTCAGTGCTAGCCTGAAGATCCTTCCGTTCTTCATCACGCCGATCTTTCATGAGTTTTAAAATCTTCTGATCCTTAAAGGAAAGACATGTATGGCTTAATACTTAACGATGAAAATTTTTAGTTATGTAGGTGTTCAACTTATAAGAATTGATAAAGAGTGTAAAGTCAAATGATACAAAGATACATATGACATTAATCTGGACTGTTATATAAGATACATACAGCTATAGATCAATACAAAGAATAAAGGAAATAGTCCAAAACAGGTTTCAGCAGGATCCCCTTTGCCAGCAAATTGTCTATCCATTCTTTTCAGTTGGCTGTAATTGCACCTCAAGGAGAGAAAAAGACTAAACCGAGTCAAAGGAGGTGTAAAAATACCACCTTAAAAGATTTGTTAAAAGAGAAAAAGAGATAGATTATTCATCTCAATGCAAAGAAAGAAAGAGGCAAAATTTACAGAAAACCATGAATAATATTTTTTTTAAATGTCCAATATTTTCTTACCCTCACAGGCAATCGAGCATTAGGTGCAGACCCACTCCGGACTCTGACTCGAGAGCCTTTAGTGACAGAAGGGGCACATCTCTGAGGTCTTCTTCTGTCTGCAGACTGTGGTCTTGTCCTAAGAAAAAAATTAAGTAGCGACAAGGTGGAATCAAGCCCTCGTCAGTTTTTGGACATATAGAGTTATTGATATCATCTTAAGACTTGTTCATTTTTTTGCATTTGACAAAAAAGTACCCGACTATCTTGAATTGAAGTTAAAATATTTGCAATTGAAGGAGGTCGTTGTCAATTTTTGAGAGATAAAATTAGAGAGAAAATGTCTGTCAAAGTTTGGTGACTTCTCAAGCTATTATTTTAAATTTCATTATTTTGACGAGCGCCTGATTTCACCACACCGCCTTGCAATTAGAATCAGCTTTTTTATTCACCTCTGAGAGTTATGAGTAATGTTACATAAGTACACCAAGATGCCATGAGTACACATGCCAAGGTGGGGGAATCTTTGAAGCAGTCCTCGTGAGAGTTCGAAATTTTTTTTTTTTTTTTTTTTTTCTTGTACAGACCAGGAAGGAAATAAAAGAGGATTACACGGTAGGCAGCGCAGCGCATCAGGTGCAAAACAGAGGGTGAGGTGTAAGTAGGGAAATCCAAATTGTCCTGATCGTATCACTCAAAAGTACTCTCTTTGCTGTGTGTTACTAGCGCTGCTGTCAAACCAATGATTCTCAATCTGTTCTTGCTGTTGCATTGTTGCATACTAATATTCTCAAACCCTTCACTCTTTACCGACCGGCCTCAAACTCTCTCAGGCTCTCTGATTGGACAATGAAGCAGGTCTCATCGATGTACCATATTCCTCTGTTACACGAACCTCGATGCTTACAATACAATTCTTCCTGGTTAATTTCATATACGTATAGTTAAAGACAATTTCCAGCTCTATCCGCTCACGTCCACAGACCATCTATAATCTTTCTTTATATAAACACTTTATACCCAATACCTGTACTGCCTCTCCCAGACCTTCTGAAACAAGCAACTCACTAGCCTAGTAATAAATGGGTTGAAAACATAAAAAGTACTATTGAAGACTGATTTGTTGTTTTTTGTTTCACTGGAGCGCTTGATAAGTGGATCTGCACAAAAGAGCACAGGACAGTAGACATTGGGAGAGTAAAGAAAAGACACCACCCCTATTTCTTCAGAGCCTAGAGCCTGTCATACAGTGGGGACATCCTATCAAAAGTCCTGTTGGCAGTACAGTCATTTGTTTTTATCACCCTGTTTATCCAATGTCTCAAATTCTGTGATGCTTTCTATCTGGCCACTCAATATCAGTCAGCCAAGATGAAACTTTTGGAATTGTAGGTGTTTATCTCTCACACATACAAGGTATTGAACCTACCTTATCGTTGACCTAGCCCGAGGAGGATTTTTCTCTTTTTTTGACACGAGTTCTCTGTGCAGTTTAGTGCTCTCTCTGTCTGCAGATCTGCGGAATACATTTATGTTTAGATCAGTTAAATAAGTTGCAACTGAGCCAAAGAATGTGGGGCATTTCTAAAAAAGAAATAGCACTTATGAACAACCCGATTTGTTTCTGGGGGCAAGTTAAGGTTCACATAATTTTTACTTTAAAATGTTAGGCGCACTCTCAGGGGCTCTCGTGGTCTAGAGGTACAGTATTTGCCTCTCATTCAATAGGTCCCCAGTTCAAAATTTTTAAACTCTAGGATTTTTTTTCTTTTCACCTCTATTCCTGCTCACTAGACATGTTCTGTCATCGGCTTTCATCTCCACCCACTTTCTACCCCAACCCTCCACCAGCCCCCCACACTCCTGCCTATTCCCCCACCTCCAGGCCCCTCTCTCCCTAAATACTTACTTTTTTCTAAATGTACTGCTTCATCCTTCTTACTGCTGTCTTTCATCTACACCCCTGATCTTAGGGTAGGTAAGATCGTAGACCTAGTCTTCTCAAATAATGACGAAAAATCTCAGAGGCCCTGCCCTGTTTACAAGTTGCGCTCATTATATAAAAGATCCCTTAGTCATCCTAAAATCGATAAAAGTAAGCTTTCGCCACCACCTGGGCAAAATACATTTTTTTTAAACAGAGTACCTTCAAAATTGAAACATGGCTGCCTGAAGGCAGGGGCCCTTTTAAGCAGGAAAAATGGCCATGTACTTCAAAATCTCAATGAAAATACACTCCATTATTATTATTACTATAATCATTCTTCTTCTTTTTGCTATTATTAGTATTATTATTATTATTATATATTACTATTACTATTACTATTACTATTACTATTATTATTATTATTATTATTACCATTATCATTTTCACTAGCATGCTGACTTGTTTAGTCAGAGAAACTGAGTGAGTATTCCGCTGTGCATTAAATCAACAAATGGTGAAAGTGCACTCAAACAATGAGAATAGAAAATATAAAGATAATCAGTACAAAAAACTTACTTTTTTAGAATTCTACTGGCATATGAACTTCTGAATCCAACAGCTTTAGTTGGTGATAAGGCACTTTTCTGCTTCTTTTGTTTAGCAAGGGCATCTGTGAGACATTAGACACAGACATGTATAAAGTTCAAAAGAGTATTTCTTTGGCAATTCAGAAATTATTACAATACAAACAGAGCGAAAGAAAGTGTGTTGAAATTCAGCATAACAATAACCCAAAGCTAAAAAATATCCTTTATTCTGTACGAAATTTTTCAGTTATGCTGACAAAATCATTTTTCAAAAACAAGGTACAAACATGAGACAACCAGCAACCTACAAAATCTATAAAACGCAAACATTCCAAGTAAGAAAAGCTGAAAGTCAATCAAGTAATTCAGAAGCTCGAATATATCATAGCTGAATGTACATAGATATGGGCTCGAGGCTTACATTTTCTCCAGGTCATATTTTTGTTCCAAACTTCACAAATCAGAATCATTTGGAATGCAACCCATTTTGTAATTGGAAAACCTGTCAAGCTCTCCCCCAAATACAAAAACCCATTTGTCATAACAAAAGTGAGAAAAGAACAATTTCCCATTTGATTCTGTTCAGCACAAAATACTGCTAAAAGGTACAGAAAAAGAAGGATCTTTTAATTAGATGGCATTTGTACAAGAAAAAACAAATTTCATTCAGGGTCTTCCACTGCTGTTCATCAGAAATACAAAACTCGCTTAAAAGGATGAATAAATTTGGTACCTTCACTGGGTAGAGTAGACAATTTTATATCCCTGGATAGTGTGGACTCCTTTTTGAGCTCACTTTCAAGAATTCTCTTTCGTTCCTCCCGACACAACCTTAGTTTTTCTGAAAAAGAAAGGAAAACCTCTATCATTATTACACTGTATAACAGACAAAAACCTACACAACAAACCAAATGAAAACACAATGTTGAATAAGAATGTGCCAGCTGTAATCGCCCAGTTACACTTTACAATTTATAAATACAAGTTCTATTTTCCAAACTGATAAGAAGTTGGACAAAAACAAAGAGAAAGTAAACATCAAAGAAAACTCCTGAGAGTCATCAATGCTCATTATGGCAAAAACAGATGACTTTGACAGACAACAGATTGCATAAAAAAAACCTGTCAACAGTTATCCCCACCTCCTATCGTTCGAAAAATTGCTCTACAATTCATCTAAGATGAAAACCAGCTCAACCTGGAAACGGAAAGACAAATTCTTTCCCTTCAGAGTGCTTTTACCTGTCTGGGACAGAAAGTGCTTTGCACTCTTGGCATAATTTGACACAAAACTCCCAAGTTTGGTTCCATCTGCTCTGAGACTTACCCCATACTGCAGGGAGAGGAAAGGGGAAGGGGTACAGTTTTTTTGTTTTTTGGTTTGTTCGTTGTTTGGGTTTGTTTGTTGTTTTGTTTAGTTTTGAGGGTTTTTCAGGGAGGGGTAGCTGTTATCCCATCCATGTGAGCCCTGAGAAGTGCGGTTGGTCAGGGTGGTGCAGGTGTGACAATCTCTTCATTGCATGAGAAGTGCTCGAGGGGTGCTCCAGCATGGAGCGCGCTCCCAAAATGTTCTAAACATTGTCCACAGAAGCATAAAACATCCACAATCTACAAAACCACAAGCCTTTCTTTATTTTCCTCCCTTTTAAATCATAAGTGTCGTGACACGGTAAAATTAGGCTCTCCTTCATTTTTGGGCATATGGCAGGGTTATTGGTATACATCATCTTAAGGCTTATTCATTTGTCTTGCTTTTGGTGAAAAAAACAAAAAACATTCATCCTGAAGAGAAGCTGAGATATTTGCGATTGAAGGAAGTGGGGGTAGCCTGGTGTCAGAGGTAAAATTAACAAAGAAATGATCGCCAAAGTTTGGTAACTTCCAAAGCTTGAGTGTCCTTAAAAACTGCAAATTTACCATTTTTACGCTGCGGATCAATCTTTTTACAGTAAACTCCACACAGATTTGTATTGTAAAATGGACATAAAAGGTGAGGAGCCAAAAAAAAAAAATTTGAAAAAAAATTGCTGAACAGCAAGACAACAGTTTCTTTGATTCTATTATTTAGACGAGTACCTGATTTCACCACAATGCCTCACATATAAAATAAACAGAAAAACTAAATGCCCCAAAACAACATTTAAAAAAACCTAAGAAAAGCTTACTTTGTCGAATCTCTTCACTTTCATCATACAGAGTATAGATTGTCCTCAGGGGTATATCTTGAGGTAGCAACTCCTCTTGGAACTCTGACAAAGGCTTGTACAGAAGTTCAATTGGCTATCGAACCAAAATAAAAGAAACAATCATGAAACAGCAATAAAATAAGTCATGTGATAGAAAATATTTTTAGAAAGAATTTTAGCTGTAGTGTTAGAGCATGAATGTCCTTGAGCTGTGATTCTAGCTGGTCTGTCAGAATGATACATTTGGCCATAGATTGGGAAAATAGTAACACTGAAAAGAAAAAAAAGGAACTCATCACATAGGCTACAAATACCCACTAGCAAAAGTATTTCTTTAAATTCATTCTTTAAAAGAAGTCTACAAAGGACAGCTTCAACACAAGAAAAAAACGCTGCTAAATTATAGGTAGAATATGAAAACTAATTCTTTTGACTTTGGAAGGTCCCTTAACATTATTACATTTTATCCTTATGACTCCTTGATAAATAAAGAAAAGATTCATACCATAATATAAGAAGCAGGCATTTTTGCCACTTCAAATATCCATCAGTCATGGCAAAGAAGTAAGTGTGCCGAAATATGGATTACTTTTGCACATATTAAACACTTCTTATTTTATAAAGATTTAAAAAATCGGGTGCATATTTCTGCAAAAATATCTTTCCCTTAATGGGTCCATTTAAGAACTAGATCTAGTCTCAAAATATGCTGATCAAAAATTCCACTACCCTCTCAGAACAAAATTTAATTATGAGTCAGGTGTGAATGAAATTCTTAGATCATTCACAAATATGACATCAGCATTAAACAATTAAAATTCTTACTGACAAAAATTACTGTTTCCGAAGAAGAATGATAAAACATGTTCCCAGTGGCAAGAAAAAGAATTTGACAAAGGAGTGCAGAAAAAGCGATGATGGGCATCAAACGAAAGGATCACAGTCAAATTTAGCCCCAAGTAAAAAAAGAAAACATGAGGCTAGATCCAATAAATCAATACGGGTTGTACACTTAAAATAGTGCTCAGTATTGCGCGACAATGCGCGATAGTATCGAACGGAAGTACGACTTGAAGGCGGATTTTCTAAAAGTAGGCTACAGAGACGGAAGCGTCGGCCTACAAAAGCGATCGGCGAAATAAAGAAATTTAGCTTTTTGCAGCAAAACTGTCTCAAAACTGAAAAAACGAAGGGCGCCATGATCTAGAGAATATTTTAAAGAATCTTTTGGCTAAAACCGCATGTCGATCGATGCAGCCATTAAAAAGCCTTTTGAATAGTAAAATTCGGCTACCACAAATAGATAATAGATATTGCTGTAAAGGAGAAGTCCATAAAAAGCAATGGATGGAAAAGGTGTCAAAATTTTAGCTTTCACTGTCATCATGAAAAACATTTACCATTCAAAATAGCCCATAATAGCAAGACATAATAAAATATAGTTGAAAGCTATGAGAGACCTTAAATATTCATCCAGAGTGGTGCCACACAGCTTTCATTTGGCATCAAGCCATACAATGCTGTCCTCATCACTTTGTCAGATATCACTTGTAACATTTAACATTTAAAAATCAAAATGTACATACCTTAACGTCGAGTCTAGAACATGCTTCCAGGGACCTTGGGCTTGTAAGTACATACTTGCTCCCTTCAAATTTAACATCCTCCAGATTGTACAGGTCAATATGCAACCCAAGTTCTTATGAAAAAGAAGAGTGCAAAAATGTGTGCTTTATAAGATTTTATGCACTCATTAAGTACATCCATATCATTAAAAGAAACTTTAGCTAAATTCAAAGTCAAGTTGCTAAATTATTATAAAGTACTTTGAGTTGTAGTGATGAACTATTCATTTTTACAAAAGAAAATGGTGTATTCTGATTCTCTAGTCTAAATCATTTTAATTGTTTAAGTGTTCCGATCAAAACACATCATAACCATAATTTTACTAGAGACCTATGTAGGCCTATGATTTTATGAGAGTTATTTAATATCTTTGCTGGTCTTGACATGATACTAACATTTTGTTGCTGTACTTTAAAAGAGGCCATCCAGGCAGGTCCTCACCTAATTAAAGGGGGCCTCCCAACAAATATGTAGCATCGAATTGAGTCAGTGAGATACATATACTGTGTGAATTGAACTTCAGCGACATCACCAGTGACTTTATTTAGTGAAAATCAAGAAAATTGTCTGGACTGTAATGTTTTCCATTCATTCTCTGATTTGAACATTTTATTTCCATGTCAAATAGGCCTACTACATAGGCTACACATAGGCCTACTAAATCCTTTTTAATGAAAAATTAAATATTTCTAACTGATTTTCTCTGTGTAAATAGATTTGGTAATAAAAAGAACAACATGTGCATTTCATTTTCACTTCGTGTTTTTTTATAGTGTATAACATTAGAGGACTTGATTCAGAAGCCCCTGTTCAGCATGAGCACTTGGATCCTAACGAAAAATGTCCTATTTATATTCGGATTTATATTACTACTCTCTGGTGTATGCAGGGGTAGTTGAAAAGGGGGTCTCCCTTCTAAGTGGGCCCGAGGCCTTCCACATCCTTAAGCCAGCAATGGACACCATACTCATGTACGACGCATTTATAATTGCATTTTATATTTTAACTCAAGATAAAGGGGAGAGCTGGGCAATAGGAAAGGTGGGGCAATAAGAAATGGATATGGAAATACCCTTATAAATGTCTCCTTTTCTCTTACTGTAATTACCTGGTGCTAAAGGCAACCATGGCTGTTCCCAAGCGGAGCACTTAGTTACCTGAGGAGTTGACCCGGTTAACCATGCCACACCCGGGTGGTCATGGAGGTCACTTTGACCTTTGCTCTGCGAGTGAACTGTTGTGACTTAACAATTTTTATACAGTTTAATTGCTTCATTGTGGCTTTTCCCATAAACAAATCAACGTGAAATTACTATCAACAGATAGAGGCATTCTTGGACTGTGCAGCAAATAACTTTTTATTAGTATTCTTAACAGGGTACCCTTTAAAACATGGGTGCAATTGAGGGCATCTATGGGGAAAATTGTTTCATAGGTCTACTTTTTAAATTTATGATATTTTAAAATGTGTACACCAGATCTCTAAAATAGTCAGTGCTATACATCAGTGACATGCTGAGCATTCAGAAACACTTTGACTTACTTTGGTTTGATTCATTCAGAAATGGGGAAATTGTAGAAGATTTACTACTGTCAAATTAATTAAATGGGAGATTTTTCGTTCTTTCCTCACAGTTTTCACAAATATGGAACTTGTAGAAGGTTCACAGCTAACAAGATCCATGAAACAAGAGTTTCCTCTTAGTGTCCTCACAGCTAGAGCTGCTTTCACATTCACAAACACATAACATATGAATACAGTCCGTGCCGGCTTTAAGCACGCCGGCCTTAAGCATGTTTCGGACTCAAGTACGCTAAACGGCTCTTACCGAATTTTTGCTATATAAATTACACCCCTTTAAGCACGGTAACTTCGGCTTCAAGCACGCTTCATTTACAAGACAGCCAATATTTTCATGATGACCCATCGAAGTTCGAACACAGTCTACACCGCAGCAGTGTAGTGTGTCAAGAGAAACACAAAGAACGCAAGTGATGGACACACACACACACTCACACGGGCGGAGAGGAAGGCATCTAGCCTAGGCCTAGGGCAAAGCTACACACGGCCAAAAAAAATATAAAGAGAGTCGGGGAGACGAGAAAGGGAGGCTGGCTGCGATTTCACCTTCGACCCTCGCTATCCATTAATCCTGATTGTGTATCACGTGGGAGTTGGGATGAAGGCGGTGGTATGAGTGGCAGAGCGGGCAGTGGTACGCACAGGCAGTGTGTTACAGTAGGCCTAGTGTGCTGTATCGTGACTGGCCGTCTAAATTAAGTTTTCATTTCCCATTCGACCACAAAACAAAAACAAACAATAAACAAGCGAACAAAAACTACCATGGCGGGTGTCTAAATAACAGTGCACACTTTTGCGGGACCGCTATAGGCCTACTTACAAACAAAGGGAAATAGCACGTGGAATTTTCTACATGAAAATCTCTGGATTATGTCTACTTCGCACTTAAGCACGCTTCGGCTTTAAGCACTCTTAAGCTTTCTCCCATTCCGTGCTTAAAGCCGGCATGGACTGTACATGAACTTATGACAATAATTGCAAAAGTGTCACAGGCTAGTTGTCTTCCTCTTTATTTCCTTTCAAAGCTGCTGACTAAGAGTGGACGCATTTTGCGGTCTGTGGGCTTCAGTAACAGCTTTCAACTGTTTCCATTTCTTTAATTCCCACTGTCCTCTTCTCCAGTTTTGCAATGCTGGAGTGCATTTATAAGTTCGCCACCCTGTTCGCCCATTAAACCCAGGCTAAATCCATATCCCTAAATAGAAGGCAGACAGTGGTGCTCTAATATGAGTTGTTTGGGTGTGACTGCGTTTGGAGATAGTCGTCTGTATAGCTTCAAATATGCACAAACTGCCGTTCTTTCTAATATAATGTCAAAACTATGTTTCTTGTATTTTATGTGTAAGAGATGAGGTGGTGTACTTCAGCATAGCTGTTGTTTAATAAATCAGATTTGTCTGATTGCGTGGGCTGCATCTATGATGTTTTAGTTAGATGTAAGAGCTGCTGTGTGTGTGCAAATGTGTTTTGTGATGTTTGTGTACACTGGGCGCTTCAAGTATTGGTGACAATGGTTTCCTATCAGAGATCGACTATGGTTAGGTCTCCAGCTGTGTTAACTTTCTTCAATACTTTTTTGCGCAGCAGATAGAGTTGCTTCACGCACTTGTTTCCTTGAGTGGTATATGCTCTGTACACAGTAAATTGTAGCACATTTCACAGGGATGTGTGTCTGCATTATCCGTGTCCACGTTTACGCGATAGAATACGAGTAAGTCATTTTTAAACTTACACAAAAATATGTGCTCTGGTTTGCCTTCTTAACTTTTTTACTTCTGGCCCTGCATGTTCTACACAGGGTTTTTTTAAAACCCGCAAGACGTAGTTCCCGGAGTGTTCCATTTTCCCTCTTGTAGCAGACTCTCCTAACACTTGTCGATAAAAAATGGGGGAAAGTGAAAACGGGACCTCCGGTGAATATCGCACGGGGCAGCACGGCGGCCGGGAAAATATTATAGGGTGAAGTAACAAAACTCGCCGTCCTGCTTAAGTTTTCCAGTGAATCTAAACAATTTTTTCACAAATAAAACCTCCTTACTGACTCTTGATAAGGCAGATAAAAAAAGGATAACAATCTGCGTTTCACGAATGGGAAAAAATCCTGATCTTTGTAGCAATCCGAGAAATACTTGCACTTCAAGGTAGGGTTAAGTACAGAGGCAGTGTGTGATCACGGTTAGAACTAGAACCAAAGTAAAGGATGCGGGTTATTGGGGAGAGTCTGGGCTTTCATTTGATACCTCACACACCGATAGTGATAAGAGAGGACACTGACAGGGGTCTAAATCAAGTGAAAATTACAGACTTCTACCCAAAATCGGCTAACAGCGCTATCGCCCAGGAAGCGATGCATGGCCCGGCTGTCAGGTGGGATTTATGACCCCGGGAGGTCAGCGGATACAGATGATATACAGATTTTTTTTATTTTTTTTTCGAGACAAAAAATGGGAAATTCTTAAATCTTCATGAATTGTTGTGAAAGTATGTGAAGTACTAGCTCTAGTAGATAAACTTGTTAGTAGAGGCAAATAAAGGTGTGGTTTTATATTATACTCTTGTTTGACAGGCATGTCTTTCCCTGAGCCTAAAATTTTCTTTATAATGCTTGAGGACTTTAGCATTCCTTAGAATGCAAATGCAGTAAAAACCAAAATGAGTAAAACATAATATTTTCTCCATCAAATTCATTTCCAAAGGACACACACAAAAGAAAAGGGATTCCAAAGAAAAAGTCCCCCAGACTTCAGGGGTTGGGAAAGGAAACGCAAGCTGTGACACGATTCGTTCTGCAAGCCCAGCCCAGGGCCAGCTCAAACTCAAAATCAAATAGACAATTGTAAATGAAATACTAGGGAGTATCTTGGCTTGCTATGAGTGGAAATCATTACCTGGTTCCATCTTCTTTGCGAATTTACTGCATTAATCAAGCCGTATATTACTTGGATTCAACAGTGTATAGAGGTTAGCACACTAGATCTACATCGATAAGAGACGCTATTTTCCTTGCACCGCCATTGTACAACAAAGGTAGTCTAAAAAGTTTCGTATGGATACTGAAAAATAAACGAAAAGAAAATTAAATAATGAATTATCAGCTAAAAGGCATCCAAATCCACAAGTCATCTGAAAGAAAAAATAAGAAGAAGGGCCAGTGAGCTAGTAATAATTTTACAACACTGTATTTTATATTTTATGGGAATTAATTTGAACTGTCAAAATATTGATAATCAGCCTTGTTCTTTTATATCAAAGAGGATTCACGAATTCACTTACTTTGTACTGCAAAGTGTTTTGAAAGGTAAATTTCTCTTGGTCTATTTCCGCTTTCGTTTTCTATTTAGGGTTGCCAATTTGTCACGAGTTTCCCTTTTGACCCAAAAAAAGGTGTTTATTTGTAGAGCTGTCGCGTTCAATTTTTGGTGAGTTTTTTTTTTTAAGTGTTTTACGGCACTCGCAACTGCATATTATATGAGCGCGCTGGACTCACCAAACATTTTCAGTTGGTAGGAAATTTTGAAATTTATATTTTGCCCAGGTGGCGGCCGAAGCCCACCTTATCGATTTTAGACCACCAAAGTACAGGATCTTTAACGTTCGCAGCTTGAACACGGGACCTCCGAGATTTTTCGCCATTGTCCGAGAAGACTAGGTGTAGATCTTTTCTACCAGAAGATAAAGGGTGTGGCTGAAAGACAGCAGTAAGAAGGAGCCAAGGAGTAGTTATAGTAGAAAGGCTACAGAAAGAGTCAGGAGCAATTACAGAGGAGGGGGCTTTAAAGGAGAGGCCTAACGGGGTGGGGCAGAAAGTGGAGACTAAAGGAGACGACAGAACCTTGCTAGGTAGCATAAAAGGAGGTGAAAGTTGACAATTTTAGCGAAGAACATTTTTCTGTCGCTACCCGGTTTTGAACCTGCACTGGGACCTTTGTATGAGATGCAAACACCTTACCACACAAGAGCCCCCTGTACTTCATTGAATTAAAAAAGTTATAACCTTGCTTTTGACATAGAAAAGAACTCAATGAGAAAAAAGTTTGACAATATTCACTGAATCATAGAAAGCATACAAGTACAGCATAGCCTATAGAGGCTCAAATGTGATTAGTAAAAGTAGAAATATAACCTACTGACGGTAGATCTGTATATTATGGTGTGAAATACTTTTTTTTTTTAAACAATGCTGTTGAATAAAGACAGTTATACTTGCACCTGCTGGCCCATATATTGTGCAGCGTGTGTGTGTGTGTGTGTGTGTGTGTGTGTGTGCGTGTCTGTGCGTGTGTTTGTCTGTGTATTCTGTAAAGAAAAAAGTGAATATTAATTAAAACCAGTAACCTCCTTGGGAGAACCCTAGATACATCATGTATATTTTTCTCAACCGACAGACGTTATAAAAACTGGCAGCCTTGTTGTACAGCAGTCAGTCAGGCCGGTTGTCGTATCTCAAAAAGGTCAACCTCAAATGCCATGCGAATCAGAATCAGGCGTCGTATGCCCCTATCTGCATACCTGCTGACAATAGCACTAGGTGTAGCTGGAGGAGTCTACATTTGGCAACCTATTTTCCAACAAATTTATAAAGAGCAAAAAGGCACAGGAACTGCAGGGGATCAACAAGTTGAGTCCGAAGTAAACCCAAAATCGGAGACTGCCCTGTCAACCGCAACGATTTTCACCGATAGGAAAACATAGAAGAATCACATTATTGAACAGCGCTGTGTATTTGCAGAACAGGTGATCTTTTTAGTTACTCTTTCTTGTGATACACACAACATAGTAAAATTACATGTCTTGAAACGGGAGAAGGTGGGATTAGGATTTGGTTCTAGATCTAGATCTCTCTACAGTTCTAGTCGTGTCAACTCCACTTGTACTGAAGTTGAAGCCGCTGTGTTGACTTTTTGCTAAGTTGATCTTTTACTCTTACTGATCAAGATTCTAGATTAGATCTAGAATCTAGATATAGATCTAGATTATAGATCTAGTACCTAGATCTAGATCTACCTCTGTGTAAAATGTTTTTTTCCCCAAATTATGTAGGAATAGTTACGTTTAAAGATATCTCTAGTTTTCAAGGTATTTTAGGGGGCGGGAGGACTTCCGTCGAGCGACCACTATGAGACAGAGCAGAATTGAGGGCTTGGGGTAGGGGTAAGGGTAGGGGTAGGGTTAGGTCTAGGCCTCTTCTTTATTGTGTTTGATGAGGTGGTCGCTCGTTACGGAAGTCCTTCCTAGGGGGCTCTCGTGACTTAGCCAAAGGTTTGAAAAGATGTTCGCCTCTCATTCAAAGGTCCCGGGTTCGAATCCGGGTAGCGACGGAAAAATGGGTGATCTTGTAGTTCCGTTCGTTAAAGTCCACCACCCATTTGTTTACATCCAGAGAAGAAATCTGGAAGTCTTGATGACCAACACAAAGAACAGGGATGTAACCTAACTTACTGCAAAACATCAATGGTAAAATTCAGGGCGGCATTCCCCCCTGAACCCCCCCCCCCCCCTCCTTCATCGGCCAATTGACTGCCAATATAAAGAGGAAAGGTGATAGTAAACATCCCTGTCTCACACCAGTCTTAATGTCAAAGCTGTCTTGAATAAGCTGGCCATCATGTACAACCTGCAACTTGTCCCTTCGTACAGTGGAACTCGGATTCAATGAGGTCGCCTGGCCTGACCTAAAATCTTGTTGAATCCGAGTGTTCGTTTTATAGCAAACACGAAGTTTTGTGTAGATAATTACAGGCACTGAGCAAGTAATGTAAGAGAAGTCACAAGTAGTGCCTGAAATGCCTGCATATTATGAGCTACACTGTGTAAAAAAAAACAACGATTCGTTCAAATGTATCTCGATTGTTTACCACAAAGTTGTGTTGCTGTGTAGCATACGGCAACTTTTGATTCCATAGACCAGCGCACAATTCATTTCAATGCCCGGACTGCTAGTCCCCCCCCCCCCCCACCGACAGGCACACACAGTCACACGTGTGCAGGCCGCCCATCCGACCCCGACACATGCTAGAGTAGACATGTGGGCGTGCCAACAATGCATGTGTTGGTATGGGAAAAGGCCGCTGATTGGTCATACGCTATCGGCTAAGTGAATAATGGTTCACGATGCAGGTGCAATGGATGGTTTCCGGGAATAGATAAAGTTTGTTCTGGGAGAAAAATGAGCGAAGCCATGTCTGTGAGGGCTGTTCACCCAGGGGAAGCGACCTCGTTGAATCCGAGCCCGCTGATTTTTAAAGTGCTCGTTGAATCCGGGTTATTTTTATTGATTTTAAAGAAGAAGAAAAGCGGGAAATCTATCTCATCTCGTTGAATCTGAGCTCGTTGAATCCAAGTTCCACTGTAGCCTACATAATTGCTCTTGATGAAGATTTTTTTTTTTCTCATTTACCTATTTCGCAATTCGGCTTTGTTCCTGACAAGGGCACCAGAAATGCTATATTCACTTTACAAATGTTAATGGAAAGATGTATTGAAGCACAGAAAGATCTGTATTTATGCTTAGATTATTCAAAGGCGTTCGATAAAGTTAGACATGATGAGCTATTTAAAATACTGGAAAAGCTAGACATAGATGGAAAAGATCTAAGAATTATCAGAAATTTGTACTGGGACCAAAACGCTGCTGTACGAATTAATGGAGAATACAGTGAATATAAACAGATTAGGCGAGGAGTGAGGCAAGGATGTGTTATGTCACCCAGACCTCTTTAACATGTACAGTGAAACAATACTTAGAAACATAGAAGAATGTCCAGGCCTCAAAGTTAATGGAAAAAATATTAATAACATCAGGTATGCAGATGACACGGTTTTAATAGCAGGCTCCGAAAAGGACCTTCAAATGCTTCTAGATACTGTTGTAAAAGAAAGTGAACATAAAGGATTATTGTTGAATGTAAAAAAACCAGAATGCATGGTAATATAAAAAAAAGCAACAAATCCTAGTTGTAATCTCATTAGCAAAGGTGAAAAGATCAAACAAGTCCATCAGTTTAAATATCTAGGATATATGATAACATCTGATGCCAAATCTTACGCAGAAATAAAAAGGAGAACTGCAATGGCTTAGGCTAGTTTCAATAAAATGAGCCCAATCCTGAAAAATAGACACATATCAATGAACACCAAAATGAAAGTCCTGAAATGCTATGTTTGGTCAACCCTTCTATATATATGGCTGTGAATGCTGGACAATCACTAAAGACAGTGAAAATAAAATAGAGGCAACAGAAATGTGGTTTCTTAGGAGACTGCTAAGAGTATCGTGGAAGGAAAAGAAATCAAATGAGGTAGTGCTTGATGAAGCCCACGTGGGACGCTCAATGTTAAAAACAATCAGGGAACGACAAATGCAGTTTTTGGGACACTTGAATAGACATAAGGGTCTTGAACATCTAGCTCTCACTGGCAAAATTGAAGGCAAGCGAGGCAGGGGTAGGCCCAGAACAACATACTTAGGGAACCTAAACAAATGGGTAACAGGGAAAAATCAGAGAAACGTAGCTTTTCTGAGAGCATCCGAGCAAAGGAATGAATGGAAAATCATGATCGCCGATGTCTGTCACAGATCTGACACTGGATGATGATGACCTCTTTCAGACTTTCAGTACTGCAATTTGAGTTTCAGGCTGTTTTGTAGTATGCATTGTGCTTTTTGATCTTTGACATTGTCAACTATTTAAATCTGCTGAACAGTCTCATTATAACAGAGATTTAAGAGTAGATAGAGAAGTGAGAGGGGAATCTGGTTTACCACTGCTTTTGTATTAGAGAGATACTATAAAATTTATGTGTTCAGTTTAAGTATAAAGTGCATGAAATTCAGTCTCATAACTTCACTTTTTCTGATGGCACATTTTTTCTACTGGAGTAGTAAGAGTACAGTGGAGTCCAGTTATAACGAAAAGTCCGTTATAATATAGACACTATTCTAAAACCCCGGGGGTTTTTTCTTCTTTATCTTTATAAGTAAAATACTGCTATAGCGCAGTCAGACAAACATGCGAGTCAGTTATAACGGAATATTGCTGCTGCTGTACACAGCGCATAGGCCAATTTTAATACGTACATAAAATGTATATATATATATGTAAAACCTCGCCAGTTGAGAAACTTGGGGATCTAGCGAAATAAAGAATGGGAGAGCCCGCATGTGCCAACAGGGAAGGCTGGAGCGAATGAGTGGGGAGTGTGTGACATGCGCAGACAAGCAGAATGCCTAGCGTGACAGGTCAGCCCATTCTTCAAGGCCTACCATGCCTCTCATTTCTCCAATGGTGGATGGAGCGAATGAATGTGTGGTGTGTA